ATGCATTTTATCGTTGTTACTAATTCATAAAGTTTCAAAAAAGGAGAGATCAATTTGCGATAATTGTTAATTGAGTTATGGTCATAGACAGAGATGTCATTTGAAAACTCCAAATTCTCACCACTTATCCTTTCCCCATCACTTAGGAGTACTGTATGAAACAATTATTGTAAATGAAATGATCATTGAACTCTATCTTTTCTATTTTAAGTTAGTAGAATTGTCTGAAAGTTTAATGCTTGATCATATTTCGAAATGAAAGGTAGTATTTCGGTATTACTAAGATAGTATAATCATTAATGATATCGTAGTATTTCAGCATTACTAAGATAGTACAATCATTAATGATATCGTAGTGTTTCAGTATTACTCAGATAGTACAATCATTAATGATGGCGATTAGCACAATGATAAGATAGGAATATTAAGCATTAAATTTCAACAAATAATTCCTAGCAATTTTAAATTTAGGTGACTTTGAAAAAGAAAAGTAAAATTAGAATAAACAGTCCTAAAAATAGAAATTGAAATACTGTAAGATTTTTACAGATGTGTTCTCCATTGCTATGTAATTTAAACTTTTATTGAATAACTGTTACCGAAACTGATAACTGAAACTGATATATCGCAATGATATCATCTGTTCATCTTTAGGTAATAATGGAATACTTAAAATATGAAAGGATTAGCAAAATGATATACAATCTTCTTTTTTTTTTTTACTGTAAATTCCTAAAATTTATGACATATGATTTGATTAACATTACGGCAAATAACAATGGTAGCAATTTTCATATTTATGAATATATAATATCATATGATAAGACTAGTGATTTGCTTTCATATCAGTTTTATTGATCATCTTGAAATTAAACTTTCTTCACTTCGACTGATAAACAAAACCAACTTATCATTCACGAAGTTTATCATTTGATAACTTCAATTTCTTCAATAACAATTATAATTATTAATGATTGCAATACAAACTACTACTCATATTTATCTTATTGCTCGCTATCTGTCATTATGAAATTCCAATCTGTCAAATATCAAAATTTATTTTGAAATTTTAAAAAGGCCTTCAAATGATTTAAAGAAACTATTTTTACCGTCTCCAAACATATTTATTTCTAGCACAAGTGATTGTACTCTATTAGTGTAGGAAATTTTCTTTTTTTTTTCCCCCCCCTTTTGCTATTTCAATAGCATTTTGAAATGCAAGAAAAAGAACTGCTAAAGGATTCTAATTTAAATTTAATTTAAGGAAAAAAAAAAGTGCTGTCACTTTCACTTTCAATTATTTTTATTTCATTACAATCTTTTTTCCTCATTAAATTGATGGGCAAATAGTTAATTTAGCAATCTTCCCTTCTCCTCTATAAATTTTATCAAACTTTATGAATTAAATGAATGGAAGGAATAATTAGCAAAACTTCATTTTCCATTAATTACATTTTGGCCATATTTGTTTCAACATGTAAATGTGAAATGAAATAAAGTTGAGGAATATTTGAAAAAGTTTAAAAAAAAAAAAAGAAAAATAGATTCGGCAATTAACAATAACAAATTGCACTTTTAAATTTTCCTCTAATTTACCATCAAAATGATCAAATTTTGTAATGGAAGGAAAAAAAAAAGACATACTTATGGTATCTCTGCCACTTTTAAAAATTTTTTGTCACTAATCAATTCTTATGATTTGTTTTGCGCACTTAGAATCATTTATTTAAACATATGTAAGGTTTGTTCCTTCTATAAATATTTATTCGCTACGAAGAATTGTTATTGTTATTATTGTTATTGTTACTGTTATTGTTGTTGTTGTTATTATTATTATTATTATTATTAATGAAAAAAGTATTTTACAAAAAAAAAAAAAATAATGTTTTAATTGCAGTCAATCGAAAATGGCATCGATGTTTCATCGAAAGCAATTTACGATTTTTGCAATCTTCTTTCAGGTATGCTAATCATTGATCCCTTCATATTTTGCATTTAATAAAGTTTTGTAAGTTTTATGATTTCATTTCAATGGTAAATTTTGTTTAAATTTTCAATTTATAATTTAAAGCATTTATGGTTGTTTCAACATTTTTTCTTTTTTTTTTCTTTATCAGAGAATTTATTTACCACTCCAATTTTTGATTCATTTAAAGTATCACTTATATGAGAGTAATTTGAGATTATTTATTTTGATTAAACCAATGAAAGATATATAAGCCTAATTAAATTAGTTCTATCAATCTTTGTAAAATTTATTATATTCGTTAAAAAAATTCTATGAACAAAGCAAAAAGTGTGATGTATAAGGCCAGTAATAGCTTGATATCAGAGATAGGTTTCATTTTAAATGATAAGCTTGATTTGTAACTACCGGAAGTAACTTCTTCGTAAAAGCGAGTTTTATATATTTTGATTTGCTGTTATTTACACTCAAATT